TGGGCAGTTTGATGTTCTGGCTGCCGCTGCGAGCAGTGTCAGGGCTCCTGGCTTAGGGCCATTCTTAGGGTGTTGAGCGACAAGCCCTAGCATGCGCAAGGCTGTCCCTGTCCACCATGTAGCCGAGGACTAGGCCCATGCCGATCTGAGCCTCAGTTTCCACATCTACACGGATGCACCCAAATCAGCTCAGAGGCTTGGAGTTCCTAGTGGGGTTGCTGTTAGGCCCCAGAAGCCAACATGGGCTGAAGCATCTTCCCTGGGGCTAAGCTGAGGATGGGGATGATCCTATGGCCGCCACCATAGCTGCTCACAGCTGGGGAGCTTCCTCAGGTATGATTTTGCCTTCTCAGGGCTGCCTTAGTCTGGACATAACCTGGAGCCCTGTGAGGTCCCCCCACTTCCTCAATTACAGAGCCCCAGGAAATGTTTGGTGCCCCTTCCCTTTGGAGGAGAAGCTGGTGAGTACCTTAGGGTTGCCTGCTTGGTTCCCAAGGACATGGCCCCAGCACCTACTGGTGTTTTGTCCTGGGTCTGGCATTTCTTTCTCCCTGATGTGGCCCAGCTGGCCCCACAGCAAACAATCAGGGGCCAGAGGCCACCCAGGTGCATCCTGGACAGGAAGAAAACCCGTGGGGTGGGGAGGGGGCGGGGAGCTGAGAACGGAATTCTGGAGCAGAGAGCCCAGCTGGCCCAAGGATCCTGGGCCTGGATGAAAGGAAGGGCGGGTGCCCACAGCCTTCAAAGCCTGGCCTGGGGCTGGGCAGGGAAACCAAGGCCCAAATGTAGAAGATGGGGCCTGGCAGGGGCACCCCTGCCCCACACCTTCGGAGCTCCCTCTAGCCTGCAAGTCTGGCCCAGGTGAAGGCCCCTGCAAAGGGGCCTCGTTCAGCTTCTCAAGTCTGAGGGGGACACAGGGCTGGTGACAGCAAAGCAAGACCAACATCAAGGAAGTGGCCTTAAGGTTCCTGGTGCCAGGGTGCAGGCCCCTTGAGCTATGGGGGGAGGCAGCAGCAGAGGGCGCCCCAGGAGAGCCTGGAGAAGACGTGGTCAACTATGAGCATGTCCACAGGGGAGGTAGTTTGTGAGCAGCCCTCCCATATGTCTGGTTCCTGTCATCGCTGAACTGGAGGGTCCCCGGAATCTATCTCTGGGTAATGGCTACACTGGAGTCCTGAACAAAGGCACGTGACAGATGACACAGGAACCATTGGAGCAGCTCCCTTTACTGACTGGCTCTGCTGTAGGGCAAGACAGGAACTGGCTCTACCTCCAGGGTAGGCGGGTTCTGGGGGCCTGGGGAGCTAGTCCTGAGGCTAGAGGTGAGCCAGGCCCTGTGTGACCACCCCTGGCTTGAGGACACAGGTACCCCAGGCCTGGGTACCCACACAGATGTGGGGGGCTGCCCACTGAGCCCCAGGGGTGAACTCTGAGAGCTTTGGCACTCTGGCCTTGAGGACCAGCTGCAGAAACAGGTCCTTTAGTCCCTGAGCATGGGGAATGGCCAGTATGGGGCAAGTGTGACCTGGCCTCATGGGAAGGTCTGGGTGGGAAGGGCACTGGGCCACAGAATGAAAATGGCTGGGGAGAGAATCACTGGGGCCCACACTGGGGTGGGGGACAAGAGTG